AATCCTCGTCGGCAACCTTGACAAAATCGAATGAGCCCATCGCTTGGAGCGGGAGGGAAACGATAGCGTCCTGCTAATTCCTCTCGTTCACAACCTCTGTTTTGCCCCTGTTCTCGATTGTGTGCGTGTGTGGCTGTTTCTGGGCGGCAAAGAGTGGTGGAGTAAGGAGCAGCGGCGCTGGTGCGAGCTGTGGTTTGAACAACGGCTATAAAGAGTGACGAGGATATGATTGGGTGGTTGTTTGGTGGGATGATGGCTGGAGAAACGGAGGGTTCAGATGGCTGATTCGATGAGAGAAGAAGGGTCTTCGGCGGCTGCTTGTGTCTAGGGTTCTATTGGTGGCGTGACAGTGAGAAAATGAGAGGGGAGTCAGCTTGGGCGGCGGTTTAGGGTGGTCGTTTATGGGTGGGAGCTGACGGGTTTCAAGGGTGTGTTCAGATGAGGAAGAAGGCAACCATCGGTCTCCTTAGGGTTCAGCTCGATGGGTGTTAAGTATTAGACTTAATGAGCTAATCTGAATTGAACCAAAAATTGGGCTCTAAAATTGTGGTCCAACACCTTAATTGACTCCTTTCAAAATAAAATAAAAATACTACACGATGCAAAGGCTAATCCTAATTAATTAAACTAAACTATATTAGAACATGAAACTATTTTTGTGTTTTCAAAATTATATAAAAAGTAAAAATAAGGTACTATTTGTATATATTTTTTATTTAAATTTATGAAAGAACATAAACTAAAATATTTTTTTAATTTTCATTTTGTGACGAAATAAAGTAAAAAAAATTAAAATTGGTTGAAATAGCTATATTAGACCTAACTAAATATTTTACACTAAAATAAGTGAAATTTCGGAGAGGGTCAAAAATTACATGTCTATATCTACCCCTCTTTGACTGGAACGCGAAGAGTTTCAGACAAAGAATGACTAGACAGGTTTTTGACCCGACCCTTATTTGAAGAAACCAAAAACTAAGAGAAAGGAAGAGGGTTTGACCGAGCCTTGGTATCTGAGCTGCCTACATATCCTTGGCTATAAAGGAATCAGACCACATGTAGTTTAGAAGTGAACGGGGTGGTGGAGTATACTGAGGTGGAGAGCCGGTCGAGGTGCCATCGAGGTTCCGGTCCATGGTTCCTGCCATTACATCGAAAATAAAAGGAAAAATTACAGCTAAAGTAAAATAAAAATACAAGATCCTATCTACTTCTTGTCTTGAATCTTCCGTGAATCTCTTCTTGATCTTCAACATGAGACTGAAAAATGGGCCCTGTTCTTTAAGCAAGCTCCTGATGCTTCTTGAATTTGCGAATGGGAAGTAACTCTGAAATTAATCCCCTTGTTCTCTAGGTGGGTGCCTGATTGCCAAAACTTGAATTGTATTCCCTTGTTATCCAGGTGGGCGCCTGATTGCCAACTTGAAATGTATTTCCTTGTTCCACAGGTGGGCGCTTGATTTCCAAAACTTGAATTGTATTCCCTTGTTATCCAGGTGGACGCCTGATTATCAAAACTCGAAATGTATTCCCTTGTTATCCAGGTGGGCACCTGATTTCCAAAACTTGAATTGTATTCCCTCGTTATCTAGGTGGGCGCCTGATTTTCAAAACACGAAATGTATTCCCTTGGTCTCCAGGTGGGCGCCTGATTTCCAAAACTTGAATTATATTCCCTTGTTCTCCAGGTGGGCGCCTGATTTCCAAAACTTGAATTATATTCCCTTGTTCTCCAGGTGGGCGCCTGATTTTCAAAACTTGTATTGTATTCCCTTGTTATCCAGGTGGGCGCCTGATTTGCAAAACTTGAATTGTATTCCCTTGTTATCTAGGTGGGTGCGTGATTACCAAAACTTGAATTGTATTCCCTCGTTATCCCAGTGGGCGCCTGATTTCCGAAACTCGAATTGTATTCCCTTATTATCCAGGTGAGTGCCTGATTTCCAAAACTCGAAATGTATTCTCTTATTCTCTAGGTGGGCGCCTGATTTCCAAAACTTGAATTATATTCCCTTGTTATCCAGGTGGGCGTCTGATTGCCAAAACTTGAATTATATTCCCTTGTTATCCAGGTGGGTGCCTGATTTCCAAAACTTGAATTGTATTCCCTTGTTATCCATGTGGGCGTCTGCTTTCCAAAACTTGAATTATATTCCCTTGTTATCCATGTGGGTGCCTGATTGCCAAAAACTTGAATTGTATTCCCTTGTTATCCATGTGGGCGTCTGCTTTCCAAAACTTGAATTATATTCCCTTGTTATCCATGTGGGTGCCTGATTGCCAAAAACTTGAATTGTATTCCCTTGTTCTCTAGGTGGACGCCTGCCATTACAATAAAACAGACAAAACAAAAGAAATTTTTCTGCCCCAGTTTGGGATCTGGGTATATTTGTGAGTGTTAATCGAATCATGTTACCTTTAGAGCTCTAAGAATTTAAAAGCTAAATCTCATTATCCAGGAGGGCCCTAAAAACATCAAATTAAATCTCATCTTAAGAGTGACAACTTTAAAGCTAAGTTATATTTCCTACAGGTAGAACTTACATTAAATCTTGTTATCTATGAAGGTTTTGAAATCTAACTAGATCCCATTATCCAGGAGGGTCCTCAAAACTTTTAAAATTAAATCCCATTATCCAAGAGAGTCCTGAAAACTTGAAAACTAAATCTCATTATCCAGGAGGGTCCTGAAAATTTTAAATTAAATCTCATTATCCAGGAGGGTCCTGAAAACTTAAAACTAAATCCCATTATCCAAGAGGGTCCTGAAAACATGAAACCTAAATCCCATTATCCAAGAGGGTCCTGAAAACATGAAACCTAAATCCCATTATCCAAGAGGGTCCTGAAAGCCGAGAATGAACTTACCTGAACCATGCTCTCTTCTTGGAGGATTCTGAACAGAACTTCTTGCCCCTGAGCCATGCCTTCTTCATGGGAGGGTCCCTGTGGATTAACAAATTTTCTTGCCCCTGTTTAAGACAAATAAAATTTTGTTAGTTTGAAAATGTGGTGGTTAGATTGTGGCCTTGACCTTGAAGGTGGCTGCTTCTACACTTGCCAAGATAACTTTGATTTCAGCTTGAATGAACTTGACTGTTATCGACTACCCACTTTCTTTCAACCCTTATCACAAACAAACACCTCTGCTCCATTCGATCTCAATATCCTCTATCTGTTGCATTTTTCTTATGAGTTGACATTTACCGAACCCTTGCATTTCACATGAATCCCAAAACATGTTGATTGTTACCAACTCAGTGCGCATACTGTCCTTTCCTGTCTTATGCCACTTTGATGGGCTAGTCAGATTCCGCTTTGTGCAATTGGAAAGCTGGTAGCAGATTTTGAAGTCATTTCTTAATTGTTCTGACAAAACAAACTTCAGAGGACTTAAACAAAGCAAGAAGAACAGAGTTAAGGGGACAAGAGATGACATCTAACAAGGAAATCAACGAGTAGAAACTTGTCAGATATAGATATCAACTCTAATGACCGTGACATGCATTTTGGATTAAAGTGGCCTAATCTGTTAAGCAAGTCTAATGTTCAACTCATGTTGTGCATCTAAGTTGTGAAATTGGGCTCTAGTGCTTCAATTGTCCTATTTGATCCAAAATTCTTAGTCGACTTGTAGTGCCCTGAAGGGTTTTCACCATCAAGCCTCTCTCATTTTGCTCTTTCTCTCAATTCACCGTCGCCTTACGGTGCCCATGAGGTTTTCACCGATAAGACTCTCTCATTTTATCATTTTCTCTCTTTGTGCTGAGAACAAAGTTATTACCCATGATGTAGGAAGATCATACATTCACTACCCACTTGATTTGACATCCTCAAAGATTGGTCGGAAGGTCTTTCTTTGGACCGTAATATAGGCTTTTGGACAGGGTTGTAAATAAAGGGTGACATGAAGGCTCAAAATAATTTAAGATGAAAAGGGTTCAAAATTATAACCTTTGGAATCAGATCATTTTCAAAACTAAAACTTCTGCCCCAGTTTCTTTGGATCTATGGGATTTCTAAGAAAAACTGTCCCACTTTTAACTTCGGGGATTATGAAACATTTTATTTGGTGCGACCGAACCATAAGGTTGCCTACGTATCTTGTGGTGACAAGAATCAGGTCGAACATAGTTCAAAAGACAAAGTTATTTTTTTTTCTTTTCTTTTCTTTTTCTTTTTCCTTTTTTTCCTTTTCTCTTTTTCTCCTTTTGTTCTTCTCTTTATCTTTTTCTTTTCCTTTTCTAGTTCCTGACTCTCTTTCTGGTTCCAAAAAAGGGGTATGAAATAAAAAATTAGGGCTCAAAATGGGTAGCAAAGGATAAAGTGTTTGGGTAGCAGAATAAAATGTCTTCGTCATACCAAACTTAAAAGTGGCCAGTACAAACATGCAATTGAAGATAAGCAAACAAATCACACATATTATCTATTGATGGCATCAATACAAACAAAAAGTGCCAATGGGCAATACGTTTATCTCAATGAATGACCTTGGCCAGTTTGAAGCAGACTTGACTCAACCTTATCTTGATGTGGAAGAATGTATTTTAGCACTGACTGATTTACCTCAAAATTCTTGAGAGACATTTTCTTGTTGTATGCTCTTATCAACCTCTTGATTTCCCAGACTTATTGCCTCAGTTTCACTCAATTCAAAGTTCAGGTCATCTCATAATGCGTGAATCTTTAATTGTTTCCTCAAACGCATCCTTTTATCATATTCAAAATTGTGCCATTTCTTCATGATTAGACTAACTTTCAAGATCAGGCTGAGAATTATGCGTGCATGTCATGTCACTAGAGTCGGCATGAAAAGAACTATAAAAGGGAAAATGACCTAAACAAAAATTGACTAGAACTAACAAAAAATAGGAGATTGTATTGGATAGATGATGAAAAGGGTTTGAACAAGACAAGCAAAATAGACGTGGGTTACAACCCTGGAACAATCCTAAATAACACTAGACGAGTTACTACAACTAAACGAACTAGGCAAAATAAGAAGAAGAAAGGTTTGAGCCACAAGACAATGTCCGAAGTACAACCCCGAAATAACCTGGACAACAGAAATGACAACAAAATAAACCACCAAAACTCCTCCCTGGCTAGCCAAGAAAGGAGTGTCTTTCCAATTACCAAACTCGACGTCTTAGCCACCGGGTTGCACATCAAAATTACTGGGATCTTCACCAATTTCAATATCATTCACTTCAGTCAGCAAGTTCCCAAGAGGATTCTCATACTCCTTATCACCATGCATCTTCCCCACAAAGTGTACATCATCATGTGCAGGTAAAGGATTCTGTGAAATGTTCTGAGTGTCACTATCCTGGACCACAATTATCCCTTCTTGAATCATTCTTTCTATCTCCCTTTTAAAATCCCGACAACTTTCGACATTGTGCCCCTGAGCATTGGAATAGTATTCACACCTTTTAGAAGGGTCAAACCTTCTTGCACGCGGGTCCACATGATTCGGAGAAATAGGTGCAATTAGGTCATAATGCTTTAATTTCTCAAACAAGTTTGCATAAGATTTTGTGATTGGAGCAAAAGACTTTTCTCTTTGCTGTTGCCTTCTTATTTTGTACTCCAGTCTTGGTTGGAACCTCTTTCGGGTAGGGGTTGATATACTTGTAGAGGTGGGTAAGACATTTGTGGAGGTGGTGCAAGCCGTTGCGGGTTTTTGTGAGTGTGGAATATATGACGGTGCATCATGGATAGAGTATTGGGGAGGTGAGGTATGACTTTGGGGATTCTATGGAGGAAAGTAGCATTGGGGAGGATTATCTGGAGTATGAGGATATTTATGGGGTCGGTATTGAGGCTGAAAGCATTTAGAAGGGTTTCCTACTAGATTCTGTTGTTGGCGGGGCCCAACACCATCTTTTCTATCAATCAGAGAACTGACCCGAGCAACTTGTTCGTTCCATCTAAACCAAAATGCCCTACAACTTTCCTTGGGTATCTTTCCTTGGGCATCAGGGACTTTGAACACAATCTCGCTAGAGGATCGAGGAAGAGTAGCTGGTGGAGGAGCTACAAAAATCGGAGAAGATGTCTGATCAGGGTATGAGGTCATTTTGGCTGGTGGAGCATGGAAAATTTGGGAGGAGCTGCCAGGGAAATTGTGGTAAGGGGTAAAGCCCGGTGCATGTTGAGGGGAAGGGTCAACGGTAGTGGGAACCTGGGCTCGTGATAATGGTGAGATAGTTGCAGGGTTTTCTGTGTAGTTAGTGGGGAATGAAGGTGGATGATGCCCCCTGATCCAAGACTGATACATTTCTGCCATCTGTTGTTTCAACCTTTGGACCTCCTCCTTCAATTCAGATTCCGACTTCTCAACCTCCCTCGACGGGTCAACAACTCCTGTGTCCATGCCTTTGCTAGCCATGACTGCCTTGTGCTTTCTGGTATTGTATGGACGAATCACCAAAGTGCCACAAACTAACCACCCTCTGTTATAATAACAATGAAAGTAACAAAGAGGAGCAAAACGAAGCCAACATGTTAGCGTTAGGACATTTATCAGATAAAAATATCACATTGTGTGCAATGCCCCTAACAACAATTAATGGTTCTAAAATGACTTCGAGGGTCACAAGGTCGTTTGGCATCATCCCCATTTTGTTCATTTCAACCTTCTCTTTTCTTTATTTTCTAGCACTTCTTGGCTTGCCCATTTCCCTTCCTCTCTTTTCTTTCTAATTGTCACTCTTATCTTTCCTCTCATTTCTCACATCCACAACTTCGTTTTTTTTTCTTTTTCTTTTTTTTTCTTTTTTCTTTTTAATAATGATTCGATCGAACCCTATGTAGGTTGACTACGTATCATGTCCCTCATGAATCAGATCAAGCGTAATTCTAGAAAGAGTAATGGACGAATAAACTAAAAATAAAAATCTTTTCGGATTTTCCATTTATAATTTTTTTTAGTTTTTCAAATACAAAATAAGAAGTACGATAACAAAAGACTCGACAATATTAACTAGACTGACAGGCTCGATACTACTGTACAAGACTAATAATTAAAAGACAACATAAAATAGACTAAAAATAAAAAGTTTCCTCAAGCAGCTCGTGCATGCAATTGTCTTGACTAGAATGGTCCTGGGGTATTTGTCATGCTCAAACTCTAGCAAATTGCTCCATCCCCGAATGGAAAAAAATAAGATCAAATAGAGTTAGTGACTCAAAACACATGTGACGCCATGACACCTTATATTGGACACATGCAAGACATGATTAAGGCTATTTTTGCAAAATGAACTACGTAGCCAAAATGTGGCTATTAGCGCAAACTCAACAAAGATGACCTCGAAGACGTAGACATATTTCCCTAAGGCTTATATGGATTCAAACTCCCAATAATCATGGCCCAAAATTAATTTGCAGAAATGACCCATTTTGCAGAAACTGCCAATATGACCAGAAGTGGCTAAAGATGCAAGCTCAATAAGGATAAACCTTAAAGTAATATGACACCTAGTTGTGGACTTAAGATCCTAAGATATGGGTAATTGAACTCCTTTTGCGAAAATAACCCCATTTTGCAAGAATGACCGATGTGGCCAAAAGTGGCTAGACATGCAAGATTTGGCTAAGACCCCGCAAAGCCAAGAACCTAAGACTTACTAGAAAACTGGACCCTATGTGGGTTGCCTACATATCTCGCCCCGAAAGACGAGAATCAAGTATGCGTAGTTCGGAAAGATTGGACATCGGAGAAAGCCTTTTAAAAAAATGCAACTAATTTGGAAAAATCATATTTTTTGTCTTTTTGAGAAATGACGGAAAATATAAAATCTTTTGGATTTTCTTTTTCTCCTTTTTTTTAAATTTTTGGAAAATAATGGAAAAGTGTAAAATCTTTTTGGATTTTCTATTTTTTTGTCTTTTTTTTTAATGAAAAAGTAGTGAAAGAAAATATAACAGGGCCCTACTTGCTTCGTCTTTCACCCTTCTTTCCCAAGCATCGGTCCGTCAAATGACCTTTTTACTCTCAAGGATGCAACATGTATCACATAGGGATGATTGAATATCTTTTTCGGCCACTGGCCCATTTTGACAAAATTTGGATAGGCTTCCTACAACGGGACACGGTGCCTGGGACCGAACCCTGTTAGGTTTAAATGATATGATGCACATAAGCATGACTTAAAGGTTGACCTACGGTTGGGGTTCACTAGACAAGGCAATTCGGGGCGCCACGTGGTCGATGGCGGCTGCTCTAGCTGTCTGCCCATTCCACGCTCCCACGCCACCCCCTAAAGACACGAGTGACTCACAAAAGACCGTGTACGCTCAAACGTACTCCGGAAGACTTGTTGCAGAAAGAAGACCCGGGGTTATGCAAATGATGACAATTTATAAAGCAGTAACACATAAAGAAAATATTGTAAACAAATAAGCAACTAGCAAATAAAATGACATAAACAAAATAAAAATCAAATAAAGCAAACAAAATACATAAAAAGCTCAACCGAATATCTTAAAAAGCCAACAAGATCAAGTACTAGCTCGAACCTACAACTCCCCAGCAGAGTCGCCAAAGCTGTCACACCCTTTTTTTTCAAAACCTTCACTAACCCTCTTAAATTAATAAAAAGATTAGTAAAGCTCAAAAGGGGTTTTAATCAAAAAGTGACAAAAATTTGTATTCAAAAGGATTAACTCGGAGTCGTCACCTGACATTGGTTTCGGTGTGCCAGGTCACCGTTTTTTAAAAAAAAAAATCATTTTAAAACACTTAGGACTCCAAAATTAAGTCTGCACCAGAGATTCGGGTAAGGGGGTTCATTTGACCGGGGAGAAAATGTTAGGCACTCCCCAAGTCCCGTAACTAGTACGGTTGCGTACATGATCAAGTTGGCTTTTAGAATGTTCGAATTGAGGTAGAAAACACGAAAAAAGCCAAATAAACACACACGAGGCTCGAGGTCGTCCCCATCTTATCAAAAGAAAAATGAAAATAAAAATAAAAGTACTACGAGTTCTACTATCGATCTCCAAGTACAAATACTTTGGGGCATACCCCGGAATAAAATATATACAATTCCTTCAGGGCGTTCCCCGGATAAATTTAACTAAGGAACGACCTCTCGCCTCAAAATCCAAACAAAATCCTAAGGCTTGTCTACCCAAGTGTGGTCGGTGTAAAACATACTTCTAGCGAGCACTAATAACATAAATAAAGGAAAGCTAATCAAAACGCTTCATGACATGTTCATTTTTCAACAATTAGTTCAATTTACTAGACCAAACTCAATCCAATTAATTCCAAATACTATCGTGACCTATTTTATGCTTTCGATGAGTTTTCGCCTAAAACAAATTGACCGAAGATCACGTGCATTCACCCTTCTAAGGAAACTAACTAGTCCATTTATGTCCCCCAAATAATGTATGAAATCAAAATCAAACATAAATTTTCAAACTTTGGAAACAGCAGAACACTCAAATGGCATCAAAGAGCACAAAATATCATTCAAATAAAAGACAAGGCAAAGCAAGGGGACAAGAATGGAACCTTTTGTAGCAACACTTCTATATTTGATTAATGAGAAGACCAAGAATAACTTGACTATAAATTGATCTTTACAGTAGAGATTGAACCAAAACCTTGACCGAAAATCCTCGTCGGCAACCTTGACGAAATCAAATTAGACCATGGCTCATTCACGATCTGATTCGCTTGGAGCGGGAGGGAAACGATAGCGTGCTGCTAATTCCTCTCGTTCGCTGCCTCTGTTTTGCCCCTGTTCTCGATTGTGCATGCGTGTGTGGCTGTTTCTGGGTGGCAGAGAGTGGTGGAGTAAGGAGTAGCGGCGCTGGTGCGAACTGTGGTTTGAACAGCGGCTATAGAGAGTGACGAGGATGGGATTGGGTGGTTGTTTGGTGGGACGATGGCTGGAGGAACGGAGGGTTCAGATGGCTGGTTCGATGAGAGAAGAGGGGTCTTCGGCGGCTGCTTGTGTCCAGGGTTCTGCTGGTGGCGTGACAGTGAGAAAATGAGATGGGAGTCAGCTTGGGCGGCGGTTTAGGGTGGTCATTTATGTGTGGGAGCTGACGGGTTTCAAGGGTGTGTTCAGATGAGGAAGAAGGCAGCCATCGGTCTCCTTAGGGTTCAGCTCGATGGGTGTTAAGTATTGCACTTAATGGGCTAATCTGAATTGGGCCAAAAATTGGGTTCTAAAACTCCTAAAATTGTGGTCAAATACCTTAGACTCCTTTCAAAATAAGATAAAAAAAACTACACGATGCAAAAACTAATCCTAATTAATTAAACTAAACTATATTAGAACATGAAACTATTTTTGTATTTTCAAGATTATATAAAAAGTAAAAAATAAGGTACTATTTTTGTATATTTTTTATTTAAATTTATGAAAGAACATAAACTAAAATATTTTTGTAATTTTCATTTTGTGACGAAATAAAGTAAAAAAAATCAAAATTGGTTGAAATAGCTATATTAGACCTAACTAAATATTTTACGCTAAAACGGATGAAATTTCGGGGAGGGTTAAAATCACATTTCCATAGCTTTGGGGCGGATTACTCAATTTCCTTATCGGATAAGTAGTTAACCCGCTAATAATTTTATATTTATACCTTTATCCATATGTATATAAAGTAACTAGTTTCTCGACACGTGCGTTGCACGTGTGTATATCGACTTATATAATGCATAATTTTGTAAAATAATATTAATATTATTAAAATAAAATTTTAAATAAATAATCATACATGAAGAATAAAGTAAAAGTTTAGTTGCATGTTCAATGTAGATCGTCATAGATGGTGACTTGTTTTGGCCGAGGTGAAGATGCTTCGATATCATTTGAACCTACAAAAATAAAATTAAAATTTAACAAGATACATGTGATAGTTTACTATTTTAATTTCATGAAGCAAAAACATATATGAAGCATATTTTTTGATAGATTGATTTTCTTGGTGTATGTTTCTTTCATTCGTTCCGGTTGTTCGATCGTGATCAAGACTCTAGTTGTCGATATTGATATCCTTTTGCAAATGCAACATAAAGTTTTCTTTTCAATATAAAGTAGGCCATGTGAGAAAATATATTGTGAAGATCCAACCCGGTAATTGTTTGATCATATAATTTATTTATTGTCCTTGCAAAACTTAAAGGAATTAGCATCTCTAAATCTTGCAATAGCATTACAAGTCATCCGACCACATTAATTAGCTAATAAATAAAAGAAGATGAGCACTCTCCAGTCAAGTATGATAAATTTTATGATAAGCATAACACAACATCCACGCCGATAATGAAATGCATTGTAGCAGTGGGTGTAGCCACATACAATGAAGGGTGGTTCGTTTAACACCCTCCATACTATGTATATAAAAAATTATATCGGGAATACAAATCAAAAATTACTTTTGATACATGTATATTAAATCTCTAACACCCTTTGCAATAAACACAACCTTTTTGAAAGAGCACTTAGTTGTTAATAAGAATAAACACAACCTTTTAGAAAAGCCATTTAAATCAAAACGTTTTTCCTATTTAAATGGTATTGCTATTATATTATTCTTAAATATTTTTAGAAGTATAATATTTAGGTAAATAAAAAGGGCAATTTAGTAATTTAACTTTTAACTTTAGTGGTTCATGCTTCTAATATAATATAGATATAGATAGATATAAATATAGATATTTTGATGTATGATTGAATTTGATGGTAAGTAACAGATGTACACCTTGATGTATGATTGGATTTGTTTAATTTCTTATGGAAACGATATTTAAAATCATGTTGGAGAGTAAACCTTGAATATCACATAAGCAAATGATTATTCTTCTTAATCAGGCTACCGATATCATCAATTTGTGATAACATAGTGGTGGTGATTTAGCCGAAGCCTATATAGAACAGATCCGTATATTGTGTTGCCATTGTATGTCATCATTTTATTTGCTATCATGATGTGGGAAGCAACATGTGTAGAGTGCATATGCTTAAGCCACAATCTTGAACTATGATCAACAAAAGATGTTGATCATCATTGCCATCTAAGAGAAAAAAGAGCTTTATTTTACAAGAATCTTCTGAGATTGAGAAGCCCCCCTCTCTCTCTCTCTATGTACATGAAATAGTTATTAGTGGCACCGCTAAAACCAATTGGATTATATAAATGCTCGACTAGCGCGAGGCGAGCAACAAGGAGATGTAATGCTTTACTCCACAATTTTCCTTATATAGGACAATATCCGTATATTGTGTTGCCATTGTATGTCATCATTTTATCATGATATGGGAAGCAACAGGTGTAGAGTGCATATGCTTAAGCCACAATCTTTAACTATATGATCAACAAAAAATGTTGATCAACATTGCCATCTAAGAGAAAAAAGAGCTTTATTTTACAAGAATTTTATGAGATTGAGAAGCCTATCTCTCTCTCTCTCTCTCTCTCTCTCTCTCTCTCTCTGTAATGAAATAGTTATTAGTGGCACCACTAAAACCAATTGGATTATATAAATGCTCGACTAGCGCGAGACGAGCAACAAGGAGATGTAATGCTTTACTCCACAATTTTTCTTATATAGAACAATATCCGTATATTGTGTTGCCATTGTATGTCATCATTTTATCATGATATGAGAAACAACCGGTGTAGAGTGCATATGCTTAAGCCACAATCTTTAACTATATGATCAACAAAAAATGTTGATCATCATTGCCATCTAAGAGAAAAAAGAGCTTTATTTTACAAGAATTTTCTGAGATTGAGAGGCCTCTCTCTGTGTGTGTACATGAAATAGTTATTAGTGGCACCGCTAAAACCAATTGGATTATATAAATGCTCGACTAGCGCGAGGCGAGCAACAAGGAGATGTAATGCTTTACTCCACAATTTCCCTTATATAGAACAATATCCGTATATTGTGTTGCCATTGTATGTCATCATTTTATCATGATATGGGAAGCAACAGGTGTAGAGTGCATATGCTTAAGCCACAATCTTTAATTATATGATCAACAAAAAATGTTGATCATCATTGCCATCTAAGAGAAAAAAGAGCTTTATTTTACAAGAATTTTCTGAGATTGAGAAGCCTATCTCTCTTTCTCTCTGTACATGAAATAGTTATTAGTGGCACCGCTAAAACCAATTGGATTATATAAATGCTCGACTAGTGCGAGGCGAGCAACAAGGAGATGTAATGCTTTACTCCAAAATTTCTCTTATCTCTAATTCTAACTTTTTTATTGTCTATTTAATTTAGCCGATAAACCGCCCGATAATCGCTAATTTGATACCAATCCGTTCTGATGTCTTATTCGATGGTTAGCGGATTATTATATTTAAAGAACCGATAACCGAAAAGCCAAACCGTTAACGTCTATATCCGTTCCGATCCTATCAATAAGCACTCTAATGCCAATACAACAACAACAACAACAACCACCTAGTATAATCCCACAAGTGGGGTTTACTTTGATAAGCACTCTAATGCCAATGCCACACAAAATGCGACATAGGAGTTTACTTTGATTAGTTTTTTTGTTAGAAAACATAAGAATGAAGTGAAATTACGTAATATTTGAAACTATAGGGGAGATTTATACAATTCTCAAATAACAAAAAGAAGGAACAATGTTCAGAGCAAAAACCCTAGACAGAAAAGGGTTTTAGAGGGAGCAAAGCTGCAGACTCTGAGATTAGCTTGAGATTTTTGTAGAAGCAAAAATGGATAAACCTATTATAAATCTGGACAAAGGTACAACATGTACTGCTTGGAATTATTCGGGTCAGAGATTAGCAGCTGGTTCTACTGATGGCAATTTGTCCATCTTTGATTCTACTGACCCTGCTTCTTCTGTTTTTAGTTGCTCTTCTAAATTTAAGGTTCGAAATACTTAGTTTATTCCTCTGCATTTTTTCCTATTAATTTGCTTATCTGTCATTTTAATCATATTTTATAGTCATATGTGTCTTTGTTGTAATGTTTGTGTTTTTTGGACGATTTTTCTTAGTACATATTTGAAGTTTTTGTAGTGGAAAGGAAAAGTCTTTGGACATAAATCCCCTTTTGGGAAAAGAAAAGAATTATGATGTATCCGAGTTGGTTTCGGACCATTTCATTTGAGTTTTGCATTGCTATTTCTGGTCTCTGATGAGCTTCGTGATCGCGGGAGGTGCATCACAATTGCGAAGAGTGTAACTCTACAGATAATGTTGTAGCAATGTACATCAAGCCTCCCTAAGAATCTAATCAACTGTTTATACATGTAGGATTGGCACATTGAACAAAAAATACAACAACTATGCATCAATTCCAAGCTAGTTGGGTTCGGCTATATGGTGCAGGGTTCATATAGGAATTTGCACTTTTGCATAAAAAATAGATCAATTATAACTATGCATCAATCCAAGCTAATAGGGATCGGTTATATGGGATAATAAGGTTTCATAGAGCCAAAATAGGAGTTTTGGCTTTGTTCCAATTTCTCCTATTTCTTAAGCTGCCAATAAAATGCAAAGGGGGGCACACATTCAAAACTTCTTTTTTCCTTGCCTCTAATTTGGTAATCCTCTAACCAGTGGCGGATCCAAAATTTTAAACTGATGGGTGCTCGCCGATAAAAAATCCAAAAGAAGATGAAAAATGAGTTTAGTTGTGGGTGTTCACTCTATATTTAACTAACTATTTTTATAATTGCCTATGTAAATTTACTAAATCTGGTTAAAAGTAATGGGTGCTCAAGCACCCATAAGCCGGTTAAAAGTAATGGGTGCTTGTCCATGTACATCCGCCACTGCCTCTAACTTGCTAGCGTATCTGCAACTGTATAGGAGATCACCAATTGAATGTTGAAGACTGATATATTAATTACCACTGCTCTGAAGGGAAGTCATAATGTAATAAGAGAGGATTCATGTCATCCTCGTGCTTCTTGTGGAGGCATCAAGTACCATAATCTTGTTAAGAAGTTTACATAGGAAAAACTGCACAAGTAGTATTATCGAACTATGGCCAGAAAGCGGCAAGTTGGGATGTTAGTGGTCTGTTTTGCAAAATGTTGAATTTTCGAGGATAACTAGGTAGAAGAAGAAGAAATAACTATTCCAGATCAGTGAAAAGTTAATTCCTTTTTTCAGTTGGGCAGCTTTACTGAAAACTCTTTTGCGCTAATGTAATTTAAAAGAATGAGTATGAAATTGAAAATGTAATGAATTATATAAACTATCTTCAGAAGGAAGAG